AACTACTCCTCCAATTACTCTTAAAATAGAGGTGAAATGACAAAATAAATAAAGTATATTTTCCACATGAACTTTACCAAGTACAATGATGGGGTAGGGATAGATATGCAGGCAGAGAAAAGCATGTGAGAATAATGTGGAGGCAATGTAAGCCCATAGAGAGAGAAAATGCCTTTCCTACTGCCCACCCAGACTGGCTTAAGGTATTGAGGGAGGGAAAGGTAAAATATCCAAATCAACAAAGCAAGCATCTCCTCTCAGTCTCAGGCCTCTGGGCCCAGACATACAGTTTCAAAAAGGGACTGCATCTCCTTGGTATTTCAGTTAACAATATAGAGCTGCTGAAGTCCTTGGCCAGTATGTCAGTAGGCAGGGGCATTGTATCAGAGAGGTTTCCCCTGTGAGAACCTGTAGTGACTGCTGAAGTCCTTGGCCAGTATGTCAGTAGGCAGGGGCATTGTATCAGAGAGGTTTCCCCTGTGAGAACCTGTAGTGACCACTACTTTCAACATTGATGCTGGCTAATGCCCTGAATCCTGTCAGGAATAAAGGAAGACAGCCTGCCCAGCAAAGGACAGAGAAGAGCCACTAAGAAGACCCCACCCCTGATTCCTGTGGTTTACAGATAGCCACCAAGAAGCAGCAAGCAGGTCCTGCCCATTAGGAAGTAACTTAATAAGAGTGGGAAAAGTGACTGTGTTGCCATGGGATTTCTGAAGGTATCACTCTATCTGACTACACATCCCAGCATTCTTTATTCCTGCGCTAATTAATACACCAATGGGAAACAGGACAGGAGCAGCCACAAAGGGTGACACTTCCCAGTTTAGTATTCTAGCAATCTATGTTGCAGTTCTTACTACAGCAGCAAAGACCTGTGGAAGCCAGGCAACAGCCACGCCCACAGCCTTGAAAAATAAAACATCTCCTGTCACATTCCTGATTGCTTTCTTCTGTGCCCAGAATGTGCCGAGTGAACTGAAGCATAATCACCCTCAGAACCTATCAGGCACACTTCTGTGGTACAGACTGACTGAGGGCTGCCCAGCGGAGCAGCCCCATCACTGCAGGTGGGGAGGGGCTACATGTCTTTATGACTTGTACAAGATGCTTCCCGATTTTCCAGTGCTGTTTCCAACTTTGTCCACCACTGCCTTGCCCCACCAAATTTGCTTCTCTTCTACTTATGTGGTTTACTTTGTTATTTTGAGATGAACCTGTAAACGTGAGAACTCAGGGATCTGAGGTACTTCACATAAACACACTCAAGTATCAGTCTTTCATTTTTTGAAAACAAGAACACAGGAAAACAAGTCCCTTTCCCTCTCCCCTTAGAAATGTGTGCATTTTCCACTCAGCTGACAGTGGCTACCTCTGCACCACGTCACTAATTTCCTGTACACATGACAATAAGTTATTAAGGACAGGGTTTGCCCCAGGCACACCAGCAGTTGTTGAGGACACCTGCAGCTCCTGCAGGCTAAGTTCCAGTTTGCTCACGGCCTCTCGGAAGGCAAACTTGTTGCGAGTCTGAGGGATGCAGTCCACGTACCCTGAGCAGTAGTCGAGTAGCTGGTGTCCAGTGTCTACCAGCTGGCTATTGGGCACGGGTTCTGTGATAGCACTGGACAGTAGGTCAGCACATTCCAGCAGGGCCTCTTTGCTGATTTTGTCTGCTGAGATTTTCTCAGCTACTTGTTTGGTTTTTCTTAGAGCCACTTTAGTACCTGCTGTGCCATTGGCCATTTTGGCTGGCGAGATGGAAGGTGTGGGCAGAGGCACTTGAGGTGGAGGCACTGCTGGCCTCCCAGGTTTCCCACTACTGGGCACTGGCCCTGGAGCTGCCTTTTTCCCTCCCTCCTGTGTTTCTGAAGTGGGCTGTCCTGTAGGCGGGGCAGTGGGCTCTTCCTCAGGGTCTGAGCATGCAGATGGATGCTGCAGCAGTCTCATCACTGGTGGTGGGGGTGGAGCACACTTTGGTTTTACCCGGCGGGGTCGGTCCTTGTCAGTAGAGGATGTGACCTGATGCTCTGACAAGAGTTTGAATTTATTCCCCTGAGAGTCTGTGCCAATGAGCTGCACTTCAGCTGGAGTGTGTTTCAGAGTGGGTGAGATAAGGACTGGCACTTTGTGATTGTGAGTGGTTGGGAGGACAGCTACAGCCTTGGCTGGAGAAGACCAGCCTGGCTGCTCTGCATCCTCTGGGACTCCAGTGACCCCAAGTCGCACCCCACCATTCCTCTCCTTGCCTTTGGGGGCAGCTGCCATTCCAGCCAAGCCCACCCCTGGAGAGTCACTCTCTGTAATGGCTGCATCCCCGGAGGGGGCTCTCAAGGGAAGAGCTGTGGCTGCTCCTCTGGGCAATAGTTTGGCTTTTGGTCTCTCCCTGGCTGGAGCAGCACCTTCCTCAGATTTTTTTGGAAGCATGTCATTGGCCCTGTCCACATTCTCTTCTGGCTGAGAAGAGGTGGACACTGTCCTTTCCAGCTGGAGTTTGGACCTCTGGCAGTTCCTGGGAAGGGTCATTGCCATCCTATCCTGCTCTGGAAGCCCTGAGGACATGGAAGATGTAGAGTTTGACCTTGGAAAAGGCTTGGAAGTGTCATCACTGGCTGTGGGTTTACCTGCTCGTAAGCCCAGTGTCTTTTTGATTAAGCGAGGTGTAAAGAAGCCTGTGATGCCAGACCACCCACCCCCAGCAGCACCACTGCCCCCACCCCCACCACTGTCATCATTACAGAGGTTCCTCTGTGCAAAGCTCCCCCCATAGCACTTGGGTGGCGCCAGATTCGACTCTTGCTGGCCGGGAATGAAAGAGAACCCATCAGCATGCTGTAGAGAAGCAACAGATGAGAAGTTACCCGTGAGTTCATATTTCTTGTGGGGCTGATTCTCCATTTCTCGAAAGGAGCTGCTACGCTTGGGGGGTGTGGGAGCATTTCTCTTTTTCATAAAGGAGCTGAAGAAGCCTCCCTTCCTATCCCTGGTGAAACATGTCTCTTTGGCATCTTCCAAGAGGCTGCTGGGTGACTTATCTCTTTGCTTTCGAGGCAGTGCTGGGGATCCACTGGAGGCCTGTGTACTTCTAATGAACCCTGATGAGAAATGGCCAATCAGCAATGGGAAAGACAAGAAATGAGCCAGTTAGCATGACTAGGGCTGAGTTATAAAAGTTCTATCAGCATCTATTAAATGTCAGATGTTGGAGTTACTCAGAGGAAATTAACAAATATATTATTTTTTTCCCAGTGATTACTGTTCCAAACGTGATGTGGTATTGATAGGGAAAAAAACCTCTTGGTTTTTGTAGTATTCATCCTTTCTCTACAAAACAGATGTGCCTGGGACCACCTGTCAGCCTCACTGAAGGCCTTTTTCACAACTGGAAAAATGGCAACTATCTGGGAGCCAGGGACTGAGAAGATGGAGTGGCAGGTTGGATGATGGAAGATAGGAACACCCACCCTCGAAATGCAGGGCCAAGGACCAGAGTGCCAGGCCAAAGAGAGACTACTCTGTCCTCAAGGAAGATGGACATACAAGATGGGCTGACTAAATGAGGCAGCTTCCATTTAGTCTTCTACGATGGCCCCTTACCTGGTGCTGAACTGGAAGCAGGGTTCTCTGTGGCAGCTTGTGCCCCTTCAATGTTCTCCTTATCCTCTCCCTGTTTCTTCAGGGTCCGTGATTTGGAAGGAAGTACAGGCAATCGAGGAAGGTATGGAACAACAGATGAGGAGGAGGCAGCTCTCCCAAGCTCCTCAGCTACCTCTGTGACAAAGACAAGAGTACTGGTAAAAGGAACAATTTTAGACAGAAAAAGTGAGAAAAGGCACACAATTGAAAGAAGAAAAATGGAGAGAATATAGAAGTACATAAATGTACGGTGGTAGGTACTGTACCAGCTACTCAGAAGGCTGAGGCTAGAGGATTCCTTTAGCCCAGAAATTTGACACAAGCCTGGGCAAAATAGCAAGATGCCAACTTGAAATGAAACAGAAATTATACAAAACACAGAAATGGAATCAGAGTATATACTCTTGTGTATGTACATTTGTGTACACATGCACATGCATGTGGAGGCCAGAGGTTGATGCTGGGTGTATTCCTCAGTTGCTTCCCATCTTACTTTTTGAGACAGGGGGGTCTCACTGGCTTGGAGTTCACAGATTTGGCTAGACTGATCGGCCCAAAATCCTATTTCTATCTCTCCAGCTCTGAGATCGCAGGTATAAGCTGAACACAGGTACTCTGATCTGCATGGCAAGCACTTCACTGACTGATCTACCTCTCCAGTCGTGTATATAATCTTTTAGATGGTTTCTTTTATTCAACATTAGTCCTGTAGATTCACATGTTATTGCATGTGGCAGGGCTTTTTTCTCATTGGCATACACTATTTCAATGTGTGGACACACCAAGATTCATGTGCTCTCCTCTTGATGGATACCGAAGCTGTTTCCAGCTTTAGGTAATAAAATTATATTGCTAGGAACAACCTGCTACATATGCCTTTTGGTTCACAAGTCTACCTACCTCCATTTGACATGAACTGATAGGTTACAGGGTACACATCCATTCATTCATCAGTATCAGGTCCTCCTCAGTAAAATGATTGTAATCATTTACACTCACATCACCAGTGTGTAGATGTCCAAGTTACTTGGCATGTTTGTCAAAACTGGATGCTGTTATTTTATAGTATGTACGACCATCCCGATGGTCATGTACCTCATGGTTTAATCTGGTGGTGAGTAATGTTGAGCATGGCTTCGTATGTTTACTGAGCATTTGGATAGCCTAGTTTACTAAGTGCTGTGCAGATGTTGAATGAAGTGGACAAATATCTGCAAATATTTTCATTTTTAGGGTGTAGCTTTCACAAAAAGGAGAGTAGATACAATTCGTTCTATTTCATGTAAATAAAACATATCATCCTTTTGTCGGGCGTGGTGGCACACGCCTTTAATCCCAGAGGCAGGCGGATCCTTGTGAGTTCAAGGCCAGCCTGGTCTACACAGTGAGTTCAGGTCAGCTGGGACTACAGGGAGACCCTGTCTCAAAAAAAAAAAAAAAAAAAAAAAAAAGACAAAAAACCCCCAAAACCATATCAGCCTTTTAAGAAGTGTTCATACACACAAAACAAGCAAACCAACAAAGTTCCATTCCCTGATATATCACACTCCACATGCTGAAACAAAAACCCTGATTATTTTGAGCTGGGGATATAGCACAGGTAGTACAGTATGTGCCTAGCATGTGTAAGATCTTGGGTTCAATCCTCAGTACCAGAATCAAAACAAAACAAAACTTGATTATTCAAACAGTGCTTGCTCCAATAGTCACCCTTGGCTGATTTCAAATTTAGTCCTGGGCTTTGTGGTTTTTACTGGGGAAAAAAACAAACAAACCAAAACCAAAACCAATAAACAAAACAAAACAAAACAAAAAAGTAGTTTTCTGAACAAAAACGAAACATCGGGACAACTAAATTGTAAAATTTTGTTACTAGATAACTTAAAATTGTTTTACGTTACATTTACATTATACCTCATTTGTGTGTGTGTGTGTGTGTGTGTGTGTGTGTGTGTACACATGTCAGAAGACAATGTGAGGGCAAGGACGAAACATTTTCTCATTAAGCTTTAGCTTTGCATTTCTATTTTCCATTTCTTCTCACCAAATGTAATACATCACAAGGGGAACAAGACAAACTCAACTTGCTTGATTTCGTCTAACATTTTAAAACTTGAACTTAAGATCAAACTCTGCTCAATTATGAAGAAACGGAAAACAAAAATCTGAAAAATTTGTACAAAATTCCAGAATTGAATTACAGCATCTAGTAGGCAGATGAAACTAAGAATTCTGTATGTCAACTCTTTAGGAACAGGGAGTCACTCATTCCTTGTTAACAAGAAGGCAGCTGATGAACTCTATTTTTGAGGCAATGTCTCAAGATGTAGTCCAAACTGGCCTTGAGCTTGAGCTCTTCCTGCCTCACCCTCCTGAATATTGGGGTACAGGTGTGCTACCACACCCTATTGACTGGCTGCCTTTTGCGCATCTATTTAAACACAAAAGCAAGGAACAGCCTATGTATGTCCATATATACTTGTTTCTTAAGTAAGGAAAGGTTTAACTTTGTTGATAGCTTAATGTACTTAACTCAAACCCCTTTCCTAGTTATCTGGGAAAAGGGTTACCTGTTCCTATATTCAGGAGCATAATTTTAAGTAGTTACATGGTTATATAATTAACAGTCCACTAGATGCTCATGTTGTTTTTACTTTTTCAGTATTATAAACCACTCAGAATCCATATCCTTCTAGACAAATCTTAGCTAAACTCTTATTTATTTCCTTAAGATATAGGTTTAGAAATGAAATTCTTTCTTTTCCTTTTCTTCCCCCCCGCCCATAGATCAGGCTGGCATGGAGATTTACCTGCCTCTGCCTCCTGAGAGCATCACCCTCAGGACTGTAGAATGGGATTTCTTGATACTGTTTTTTTTTGTTTTGATCCTGCCTTGGTAGATGTGGTTCAGAATTCGAATATATATTCTTTAAAGATTTATTTTTAATTTTTAATTATGCATTTGTGTGTGTTTATGTATGGGTTTGTGCAGAAGACCAGGGATCGGATCACCTAGAGCTGGAGTTACAGGCTGCTATAAGCAGCCAGATATGGATGTTAGGAACCAAATTCTGGTTCTCTGCAAGAGCAGGAAGAGCTCATAACTACTGAACCATCTCTCCAGAATATTTTTATACTTAATTTTTTTCTCTTCTCTGTATAAATGTTAAGAACTACTAATGTTATTGTCTTTGTGGAGACTGAACAAATTTAAAATCAAAACATAATTTCAGTATTTAAATATGCAACAGAAAAAACAAGAATAGAAAAGGTACAAAAAAGCAGTAATGCAATAACAATAAAGGCCAAAAGTGAACTCATTAAACAGTTGGTAACCCTAAGAGCTAATCGTTTTTTAAATTACCATCCCCAAAATGGCCACTAACAGTTAACACCACCTGGCCCAGTCTCACCTTCAGAGATGCTAGAGTCATGGAACATCGTTTCAAATGCTTGATGGGTTTCAGCAAAAGAGGGCCTGTCAGCAGGGCTCCACTTCCAGCCTATGACAGGAGAATACCAAAACTTCCGTGACACAATCGGTTCTTGGGTGGCACAGCAGGCACTGAGCCCAGGCACCACAATGTGTGCTGACTGATTACAGCATGTGCTGGTCCTTCTATTTAGCCCTGGCTCCCATTCCCTCTACTACAAAAATAGGGAGAACATCTAGAAAATGGCATGTTTGCCCAGAATGGTAGCACACGTCTTTAATTCCAGCACTTGGGAGGCAGAGGCAGGCATATCTTTGAGTTTGAGGTCAGCCTGGGTTACACAGAGTTTCAGGCTAGCCAGAGTTAAATAGTGAGACCCTGTCTCCAAAAAAAAAAAGGCCTAACACATACACACACATACATAGAAGGGAGGGAAGGAAGGAAGGAGGGAGGGATTGAGGGAGGGAGGGGAGGGCAGGAGGGAGGAAGGGAAAGTGGAAGAAAGAAAATGACATTTGGAGCTGGAGAGATGGCTTAAGAGCACTGGTTGCTCTTGCAGAGGACGCAGGTTTGATTCCCAGCACCGACATAGTGGCTAACAACCATCTTAATTCCAGTTTCAGGGGATCTGACGCCTTCTTCTGACCTCCGTGGGCACTACGTGAGACAGATGCACTTGTGTACATGCAGGCAATACACTCAAACACATAATAAAATATTTTTTTAAAAAAAGAAAACGGCATGTTTCCCTCCATTAGAAAAGTGAAGTAAGGGGCTAGAAAGATGGCTCAGTGAGTGAAGGTGCTTGCCACCAAGACTGACAACCTGAGTTCGATCTCTGGGTCCCACACGGCGTCAGGAGAGAACTCACTCCCACAAGTTGTCCTCTGACCTCCACTCGAGTGCCATGAACACCCCTCACCAATAAACAAATGAATAAATAAAGTTCTAAACTGTCTAGCTTACAAAAGTTTAAATAGATAAATTCAGAAATTTAGCAGCCTCTCAGAAAGATCACCCACACTTGGGTAGTATGGAATGCACACGCCTAACGAGAATACCGTTATGTCTGCGCACAGACGCTATTTCATGTACTATTCACATTCCCACCTTCACATCTTCAAACAGTACAACACTTTTGTTTATACTCATAACAGAGGGTTTTTTTTGTTGTTTTGTGTGGTATGTACGTGATATGTATGTGGTATGCACGAGAGTGTGCATTTGTGTACCCCTTCACGTGCATGTAGAGGCCAGAAGCATCTTTCTCCACTGTTTTCCACCTTATTGTCTGGAGACAGGGTCCCTCACTGAGCTGGAGGCCTCTGTTTCAGCTGGTTGGCCAGTGACCTCCTGGGATCGCAAAGGATTCCTGATGATGGAATTACAGGCATTTGTAGCCAAGACCAGCTTTATACATAGGTACTGGGGATTTGAACTCAGGTCTTCATGCTTGTAGAGCACATGATGTTACCCACTAAGCCATCTCCCCAACAAAGAATACTTTAGCAATCATTGGCATCTAGCTGAAAGCGGTCATCCCCCAACCATAATCTGCAAAACCAACATCTTATTAAATATACGAATGTTTGTGAGAAATTGGATCTATATTTGGGCCACATTCAACTATTCTTAGGTTTCCAATAAGACTCAATTGTACATCATACACTGTGCCCACTGTCTAGCCAATGGCCAGCTCTTTAAATGTACTGAGGCTAGAGTCAATCTAACAACACTAAGAGAGAAATGTTTCTATTTCATTAACCATCCTGTTGTTGGTCCTGTTTCAAAATTCAAACATGTGAAACACTTACATGCTCTCATAAGTTCATAGACTTTAGGGGGGCACCCCTCAGGCTGTTCCATTCGATATCCTTTTTCCAGAAGATCATAGACTTGAGATAGGTCAATACCTGGATATGGTGACATCCCATACGTAGCAATTTCCCACAGCAAGACTCCAAAAGCTGCATAAGGAGATTGAAAAATATTTCTGTTGGCCTCAAACTCAAATATCTATACTAGTTTGGTTTACTAAGCCTTTCTAGTAAATCATCCTGCTTTTTGGGCAGTAGAAATTAGATTTGATACAAGGACAAATCTAAATGAAACACTATCAGGCCTTCCTTAAAAAGAAATACACAAAACCTCATGTGAAAAGCAGAAGTTTTAGAGGGAAAGGATCTTCACAGCTCTAGTGCAGTGTGAGATCTGGACAGGAATCTACTCCAAGGCATGGGCAGTTTGTTGCGTTGCTTTTTTTTTAAACAGGGTCTCTCTGCAGAACTCATTACCTAGATCAGGCTGGCCTCAACCTCACAGAGATCCACCTGCTTCTGCCTCCAAGTGCTAGGATTAAAGGTATATGACACCACACTGGGCCTTTCTTTTATTTAATAAAAGATGGGCTCTCACTATGTAGTCCTGGCTGGCCCAAAAGTTACTAAATAGCCCAGGCTGGTCCCTACCTTGTATTCTTACTCCTGAGTGCTAGGATTAGAGGCCTGCACCATCATGCCAGGCTATTTTGCTGGTGCTCACACAGTCTCACGACATTGCCCAGGCAGCTCTCACACTTGAGGACTCAAGGGATCCTCCCACCTGAGCTTCTAGTTCAGCTGCAACTACAGGCATCTACTATAGTACTGATTGCTTCTTTTTTCCCTGGTGCTGGGGATTGACCCTGGGCCTTCTATATATTAGACAAATATTCAGTCACTAAGTTGTACCCCATTCCCAGCCCTATGTAGCTCAACTGGCCTTCAACTTGCTATGTAGCCCCGGATGGCCTTACTCCAAACTCCCATCTCCTACCCCAGTCTCCTGAATGCTGGTATTATAGGTATCCATGCCCAGTCTTTAGGAAAAAAAATCATTAATGTATCTCTTTTATTTGAGCATCATAAAAGAGAAGCTCTCAGGCCAGGTATGGTGGTACATGCCTTTAATTCCAGCACTTGAGAGGCAGAGATCTCTGAGCTCCAGGCTAGCCAGAGCTACATAATGAGGCTCTGTCTCAAACAAACAAATACAAAATGAAAATAAATGGGAAGCTCTGAAGAACTAGGAGAATTTACTGGGCATGATGGCCCATGCCTATGGTCTCAGCACTCAGGTCCACTGAGGCAGAAGACGCCCTCAAATTTGAGGTCAACCTAAGCTGACATAGTATATACCAGGCCTACATAGTAAGTAAGGCCCTCTTTCAAAGAGACCTGGGAGCATTTATAAAGAAAATAAAATGACACATGTAAGAAATTGTTCCAACCTTACCCCAGACATCTGATTTAATTGAGAAGGTATTGTAGGCCAGACTCTCTGGTGCTGTCCACTTAATAGGAAACTTGGCGCCAGCATGTGCAGTATAGGTATCTCCAGTCATCAGTCTACTTAAGCCAAAGTCAGCCACTTTTACCACATGATTTTCTCCCACTAGGCAGTTACGTGCTGCAAGATCTCTGTGGGAAAGAGAACCCTATGTGATTCTATTTTGATGATGAAAAAAAATGGGAGTGAATGCTCTGTTCCTGGTTCTTTGTGCTACAAGCAGAGCTGATAAGTAAATGTTAATAAACATTGTATTTTAAAGATAATCATTAACATGGTAGAAACTCCAATTTGAATCACTTATAGAGTATCCATAAGGAGAAATTTTATGATTCCAGAATAAAGAGGATTTATAAAATGAATTCCTTTATATAAGTACAGTAGGATAGATTTCAGGGGTGAGCAACAGACACCTTTCTAAAAGGCTTTAAAAACACATTACTAAGACAGACTACTACTTTAAAAAGTTGGCCGCTAGATGGAGCAAGAGGATCTTGGATATAGTGCTAGGTCAAATGGCTTTCACTTACTAGTTTCGTTACTACCTTAAGCAACCAATGACTTTCTCTAATCTTTAGAAAACTTCTGGGCATTACCTATGGATGAAGTTCTTCTTTTCCAGATATTCCATTGCAGAAGAGATCTGAGTGGCCATGTAAAGCAGTACAACTGCAGTCACCTCTTCTCGGTTGCACTCGCGGAGATAGTCAAGGAGATTCCCATAGGGCATGTATTCAGTCACAATGTAAAATGGTGGCTCCAAAGTACAGACGCCTGACCAAGAACAATTTGACAATTTTTAAGTTTACCTTGACAATAATCTTTTCCATTATTACCACCATATTCTATGAAATAAATGTAATAAAAATTTAAAACCTGGTTGTTTGCATCATTTGTTCTCTGGAAATTCATATACCTTTTCAGTATGTGCCTATTTAAGCAAAAGCAAAATTACTTGCGTTCATTTGACATGGGGCTAAGACCAAAATTTCTAGAGTTCTGTACCTGCTCATCATTCACTTTCAACTGTATACTAACAATGCTCACCTAAAGGTAACAGAACTTATACATGTAGGGAGAACTGACAGCCTAGTCTATAATTATGTGGGGTTTTTTGTTTGTGGGGTTTGTTTTGTTATTTTGAGACAGGGTCTCCCTATAGCTCCAGCTGGCCTGGAGCTCGCTATATAGACCAGGCTGGCCTCAATCTCACAGATCCATCTACCTCTGCCTCCCAAGAACTGGGATTAAAGGTGTGTGTCACCATACCCAGCCTGTAATTATGCTTTCTAAAAACTAAATTTTTTGCATAGTCGAGGACCTCACTAATACATGGCAGATTCCATTTTTTTTTTATCTTTTTGAGACAGGGTCTCCCTGTAGCCCCAGCTGTCCTGGATTCACTATGGAGAACAGGTTGGCCTCGAACTCACAGAGATCCACCTGCCTCTGCCTCCTGAGTGCTGGGATTAAAGGCGTGCAGCACCATGCCCGGCTTCCTTTTTTAAAAAAATATTTTATTATTTTAATTTAAAAAAATGTTAAAACATTTATTGATTTTTACACCACTTCCCAGATGGCACCCTCCCATAGCCTCCCTTCCCCCACTAGTGCCCTTATACTCTGATATCCCTGCTACTGTCTGCTGTGTTGTCGGTACTCCCAGCCATTCCCCACTACTTGCCCTTCTGGTGAATCTAGTCAGCCTATTTAGAGGTCTTTGTTTTAGGAGGGTCAGCTGTTCCTCATCTAGCGGTAATATTTTAATTTTACGTGCATAAGTGTATTGCCTGCATGTATGTGAGTGCACCTGTATCATGCAATGTGGTGGAGGTCAGAAGAGGGCTTCAGATTCCCCTGGAACTGGAGTTAAGGATGGTTTGTAGCCGCTGTGTGGGTGCTGAGAATCGAACCAGGGTCCTCTCCAAGAGCAGTCGGTGCTCTTAACCACTGAGCCATCTCTCTAGCCCCAAGCAGATTCCATTTTTTTTAAAAAAAGAAGAAACGATTTTCTTTGAAACAGTTTAGCTTAATTTGAGCATTCGAAAGAACTAGCCCAATTTTAAAAGGCAGAAAGGTTTAATCAAAGGTTCCTTTGTAAACCAAACAGGTGAGAAACTAATCTATCATAGCATAGCATATCCTGATTTGATAAGCTGATAGGTCATAATTTTAATCCTCCTTTTCAATAGTCCTTTGTTTAATGTGTATTTTATGAAAATACTTCATGCCAATTTTTGGTTTAGTGCTACCTTGAACGCTTCTGAATTTTGAATCTAGGGCAACCATAAACTGGACAGTTTTACCTGTTGAAATCAACCTGGGTCACTTGTTTTTTGTTTTAAACACAAAGTCTACTGATTAAAATACAGTGTGTATGTATATGTGTGTGTGGCTAGAGGGTGAACCTAAGACTTCATGCTTGCTAGTCAAGTCTTCTACCACTAGGCCACATCTCCAGCTCATGATAATATTTACTGAAGTGGACTGACACTGAGAGTTTCCACAATGGTGGGTACTCTTAAAAAAAAGAAGAGGCGAAGGAGGAAGGGGGAAGAGGCAGAAGAGGGGAAGGGGGAAAGAGGAGGAGGTGGGAGGAAGAGGAAGAGATGGGAACAGGAGGAGAAAAGACGGAGGAGGAAGAAGGGGAAGAAGGAGGAGGAGGAGGAAGAGAAGGAAGAAGAGGAAGAAGAGGAATAATGATCTGAAGGTAAAGAGGGGTTGAGATGACAGCACACACCTGAGGATCAATGTGTCCATACTTCCTTACCTAACAGCTGTACCAGATTAGGATGCTTGATTTCCTTCATCACTGCAGCTTCTTTTAGGAACTCTTCTACTTCCATTGTATCTTCCTGTTAAAGGTAGAAGGTAGGTAAAACAGAAAGAAAAAAAAAAGGAGGAAGGAGTCAAACCTCCATCTTAATCATTTCAGTCACAATCACAATCCTACTTCAGCTTTCAAAGTAAAAGCAATCACCATTTGAATATTTTAGCATATTACCTTAAGAAATTTTAGTACAATCTAGTATGTTCTACAGAAGTACAACTAAGAATAACATCCTTGAATTTATCAAGTATTAGATACTGGAGTAAAAATGAATAGGGAAAGTAAATTCAACAATCATATTTATAATCAACCAAAAATAGGAAACTTAGATTCAGTTCTCTGACAGTTTCTTTCTCTAGATATTTTAGTGTTTGGATGAGAAGATAGAGCAGATAGCTGTTTACTTTTTTTATCTTCCCGACTAGACCATGTTTCTTAAATAACAAAGCATATTTGCAAGGCCTCACAGATCTTTTTTTACATTCAGAATGTGCTTAATAAACAGGACCATTATTCATTTAATCTACTTGATTCAAAGAATAGCTCACATAATGACACACCAGAGCCACTGAGACTCTGGGACAATTTTCAGAGTATGGAATGAGCAGCAACACTGTAATTTTGCATTGGGATGCTTAAAAGGGGGACAAAGTAGTATAAGGAAAAAGATTTCCGTGAATTTCAGAATAAGAAGCGATCTAGTTGGGCATGGCAGTGCATACCTGTGAGCCTAGGAGGCTGAAGCAGGAAGATCCTTACTTGGAAGCCAGCCTGGACTACTCAGTGAGACTTTTACTTTTTAATTTAAAAAGATGTCTTTAACTGCAAGGAGATGGGAGGTGCAAGAGGCAGGGGGATAAAGGAATAAGGACCTGCATGATTCTTAGACAATACATGAAGAATCCTGTCTGGCAGGGGCTGTTTTCAGCAGAACTTATGATTTGCTTCCAAATTCCCACTAAGATCTCTATCAACAGCCTCCAGAGACAAACCTTGCCCACACGTGGGTTTCACTGCATTGCAGTAAATAATCTGCCCTTGCAATGTCAGCAATGGTACTAGGGTTAATCACCACAATTTGCTGAGTGTTTGGCACTTGTGGGTGGAAAGTGTTCCAAAGTTAGGGAAGGGCGCACTGATCTTTCCAAGTGATTCAGCACACGCACAAAATGCTGCCTGAAAACTGTAATTCTCAGCAACCCACCTTCAGTGTTTTCACAGCAACTGTAAGGCTGTATTTCTTCCAGACGCCGACATAGACTTCTCCATACTGACCGCCCCCAAGTTTGTGCTTCATGGTAATATCTGTTCGCTCCATTTCCCATTTGTCATGGATAGGAGACACACCATAGACAGTTGGCTTATTACACTTGGGGGCTGGATAGTGCAATGTTGTCACTAGCCCATCAGCTACTGTGGAATGATGGTGAACAAGCTCTGCCAAGGTGCTAAAGCGGCTCTCAGCAGTCACATATACCTGGTGAGGAAAGCAGACAGACCTGAGAAGAGAGGAGGAACTGTTTTTAAAGGCGCCATTTCACTGGCCTGAAGACAGGATAGGAAGGTGGCTTTTTTGTTTTGTTTTTCAGGTTCCTGCCTCCTGTAACACAAGATGAAAAAAAACTTTTTTCTCTCCAAGCTGCTTCTGGTCATGGTGTTTATCACAACAACAGAAGAGCAAACCAGAACAGAAACTGGTATCAGAGAGTGAGACCTAGCTATGATGGACCTGACCTTGTGGCTTTTATGCCTTGGAATGTTTTCTGGGAAGAAGATGGAAGACTTTGAAGCTCTGAGCTAGAAAAGCCATTGAGTGCTGAGAGCTTAATGGGCTTCTCTGTGGGAGCTTGGAAGATAAGAATTTTGAAAGAAATGCAGACATTGGAGACCTGGCTTATGAAGTTTCAGAGGGAAGCAAAGATTCTACCAGACTATTTCTGAATTAGAATCTGTGCAAATTAAACCTTTCTTTTACTGGGGCAATCCATGCTAGTTAGATGAGGTTGGAAAATCAGCTGTGATTAACAAGAGACCAGCATCACTGAGGTGAAATCTTTTGGAAAGTATTTCTCAGGGTCCTCACTCAGAAGTTGTGGTCCAGGGGAGGAAGGAGGGAAGAAGATCAAGGCTGCACATGAAGTTGGTAATGAACTTGACAAATAGTGTCTAGGAGTCTCCCATATAGTATTGGGGTTGAAGGCATGAATGGGTCATGGAGAGCAGGTAAGGCATGGCACCATGAGGCAGAGTCAGAGTCCCTGAAGAGAGCCCAAGAAAGACCACTGATGAAAATGCAGCCTCAGTTGCAGTGGAAACCCCAGGATTGAAGGAGTCATGGAGAGAAGTCACTCAGATTTAGGCACTGTGTTGGAATCCCTGCAGAGAGGCTGGGAGGCCATTGGTAAAGGTACAGCTTCACTTGCCATGGAGAACTCAGCATATTGGAGATGGTAGAACCATGGGATGACCACCAAGAACAGCAGTAGATACGGTGGGGAGCCAGCCTGAGCCCACTAGATAAATTGTGTATGTGGGTAGTACAGATGAACAGTGGGACTGCCCAAGCCCCTTGGAGCCCAGAAGATCATTAGTGAGTCCCAGATGTTAGACACTGAACTTTTTCCCTCAAAGATTTATCTTTAACTATGTGCATGTGTGTGTGTGGGGGGGGTATATGCTACCCATACACAGACATATACATATTACATATCATTTTTAAAAATAAAGTTGCCTAGCTGGGTGTGGTGGCATACGCCTTTAGTCCTAGCACTCAGGAGGCATAAGCGGGTGGATTTCTTTGAGTTCAAGTCCAGCCTGGACTACATAGCAAATTTTAGGCCAACCAAGGCTATACAACAAGCCCCTGACTCAACAACAACAACAAACAAGGAAATTGAGGTTTAAGTAAAGTCTCGAAGTGAAAAAAATGGTATAGTTACTAGGTCTGAAGTTTTGCTCCAAAGCCCATCCCCCTACTGTGCATATCATAAAGAGGGAAAGAAGGAAAAAAAGGCTCAACCCAAATCAACCATCCAATAGAACAACAAATGACATAAGCTCAGGCTTTATAATCTATAAAACATATCAGGCTCCATTCTAACGCAGTTATTCTAACAAGACTGAGTCTTCCAACGTACAGATTACCAAATGGCTGAATGCTCTATTTATGACAACCTACATGAATGACAGACACCAATCTCAAATATCCATATTCTTACTCTATGAGCTTCCTAGTACAGATTATTCTAGACAAAGATATAAGGTTAATTTACAAATTCTGCTTCTAAGTATTTGGTTATATTTGTGCTGATGGATAAAAACAGCAACCTTTTAATTCCTTTACTTTCATTCCTTTACCTTCAAATCTAATTTATCCTTACACTGTTAATATACCACAATTTTTAATTTACATTTCTGAATTGTTTCAAAAAGAGCAAGCTCCAACATGCTGACATATCAGACATAAAAACTACTTTCTACTTTAGTCCTTCTTGATACTGCTTTTACTGAGCAGCCATCCACATAGTGGCTACTGGCAAGACTCACCTTGCTGTCTGTGGTGGTATTGATCCTGTAGTGGTACACACGCCCCTCATACCTGAGCGAGATAGAGAGCTGCCCAGGGCTACTCTCACTTTCTCGCACGAGGAAACTGCCATTGATTAGGCTGCTGAGCAGATACTCCGCTGCGCTGCGGGACACAGGTCCATGGTACCAGGAATGTTTCTCTAAGCTATTCACTGGAGTGATGTAGTTGCTTGGCACCCAACCCTGTCCATTCTTGGAGCGAACCTCACTCCACTCGCCATTCTGGTTGTAACCAAGGACTCGTAGCTTTTCACCTGGCCATGAAGTCATCAAAGAATGAAAGGAAAAAATGTTTACTTCAAACTGAAGAAGTTTAACATCAAACTTCAAATTCACTGAAAAATGAACCAAGAACCTTGCTTATCAATATCCTAGAAATTTCTTAAGTTTCTAGCTTAAACTGCAGAAACATAATAAGAATTGGTTTCTGACATTTGCTACAGATTTTAAAAGGATTATATGCCACCTAAAAATGTATTGAAGAAACTATGTACAGTGATACGACAGTGTAGCAAGACAGAAGGCTTATTCACATGGCTAGCAAATGATAGCGGCCACTCTTTTACTTTATTTGATTAATTATTTATGCATATGTCTGTGCATGTGTGCTGGTACCCATGGAGGTCAGAAGAGGATGTTGTATCCCCTGGAACTGGAGTTACAGGCAGTTGTGAGCCACCTGACGGGTGCTGAGAACTAAACTCCAGTCTTCGAGAGAGCTTGACAGCTGAACCATCTTGACTGGCTTATCTTTTGGAGGTTTTTTTGTTCTTTTTTTTTTTAAGACAGTTTCATTATGCAGCCTAGACTGGCCTTGACCTCATGATCCTTTTGCTTCAGTCTCTTGAATGTTGAAGTTATAGGCATGCACTACCACACCTGGCTATAAAAATACTCTTCAAAGGTGAAATAAAACTCACTTTCCCTCAACAGGTATGTATCTCATATAGATATGATTTAATGCTAATGATAACAAAAAAACTGGAGACATGTGAAATAAAAAGCAATTTTCAAGCTGGGCATGGTAGCACACACCTTTAATCCCAGCACTCGGGAGGCAGAGGCAGGCGGATCTCGTGAGTTCAAGGCCA